ATGTCACTGAAGTTTCAGTGACTTCAAGGACAAACTTCAGTGACTTCAAGGACATGTCACTGAAGTGAACCAATATACTTCGAGTGCTCAATCAACAACAACTAACAATGAGGGTGCTCAAGGACTCATCAGGCTGCTTCCGGATGGAGAAGAAGTCGTCCCAGGCATTGAAGTGTGCCCCAGGACGTTGCTGGAGGTGTATGGAAGCAAGGGTAGTCCAAATCTTCACAGGATCATCCTGGACAGCATCTATGTGCATCCTTTGCTCCACAGAGCAAGCCAGATACAGCTCCCCAGCTGCCTTGTCTGCCTTGACATCCCACTTGGCTTGGAGATCAGTGTGAGAGGCAGGACTCCAATGAGTTTCTGAGCCATTGACCAGCATCCAGAGGCCCTTGACACGAAGGTAGGCCTTCATCTCACCCTGTTAGATGATGCCTAGCGCTCATCTTAGGGATCTATAAGAAAAATTGGTCACAGCCCTCATGCATGCTTAGCACTGATAGTGGGAGTGTCACAAATGTGACTTGACCAAGAGACTACTTAAGAAGCCTCCCACCACACCAGTAATCAAGGCCTGGTAGCTCAGTGGTTAGAGCACCTGGTGCAGTTCCAGAATGTCCTGGGTTCAAACCCTAGCCTAGCCATCTGTTCTGTTGGGACCATTTCTAACACACCCTTCCAGGTAGGATAGTTACTGGAAGTGAGTTTTGTGATGGAGTTTGACTTAGGATCTTCGCCAGACATGGTAGGGTAGTGGTGCAAGGGTCAAGGGTCAAGTATACAGGGAGTAGGATCAAGGGTACAGGGTGTAGGCAGCAGGATGGCAGCAGAGGCAGGTAGAAGTTGAAGGAGAGCGTTATCTGTGCTGATAGTATACAGCACAGAGAACTAGGAAAGATGAAGGGACAGGCTGGGGAGGCACTGGGGCTGAGCCAGGATGCAAAAAGTGCAAAAATGACACACTGTGGGTTCCTAACTGGAACTCAAACTCAAACAACATACAGGCTTTCCATCTCTCGACCAACTAAGTCTCCAGAACGCTACTAGGGCCTATGCAGGGCGTAGAACGCGATGGGAATGGTGGGGAGTCGATGAGAGCAGTGGTTGAAGCAAGTGGAGTGAAAATTTAACTGCTAAAGCACAGGGCTCATAACCCATTCAAAGAACAGTCTCACTCTTGAGTTCACAGTCAGTTGCACTTATATTTTGTACAGTAAAACAAGTGTACAGTACCTTGAGTTCACAGTCAGTTGCACAAAGAGCAAGACAGTGAACTCAGCAACTAGGATGAAGATTGTGTAAATAACTACAAACAGTATTACCAATCATGTCATTGAAGTTTCAGTGACATCCGGAGAGCCCATTCAGTGTCAAACTCCGTCCTAGACGGGACAGCCGAGGGACACAATATCCCGTCTGAGACGGGTCAGCGGACAATGGGCCCATGGCAGAAGTGTCTCGATGGTGACGAGTGGGCCGAGTGGTATAATGTTTCTGATGGAAATGGATGGGCCCATGCCCATGCTGTATACAGAGCCACCGGTAAATACATGCACTAGATGAGTGGGCCGAAGGAGCCGTAAATTATCTATACGAGTGGGCCGAAGGAGATGTAGATTAAATAGACTGCTGTGCTAAACGAGATGTGCAGCATGTACACGAGTGGGCCGAAGGAGATGAAGATGATATAAATATATGGGCCGATGGAGATGTACTTCATATTGGTGCATGGGCCGAACGACATGGGGATGGCATAGAGCGTTGGGCCGAAGGGGATGCTGGTGATATAGTTGGTTGGGCCGAAGGAAATGCTGGTGATATATTCCGTTGGGCCGAAGGGAATGGTGGTGATATAGTCGGTTAGGCCGAAGGGGATGCTCATGACATAGTCGGTTGGGCCGAAGGGAATGTTAGTCATATAGTCGGTTCGGCCGAAAGTGATGGTGGTGATGTGGTCGGTTGGGCCGAGGTTGATGTGTATGGGATAGTCGGATGGGCCGAAGGGGATGTTTATTTTGAAGTCGGATGGGACGAAGGATGTTGATGATATAGTCGGATGGGCTGAAGGGGCAGTAAATCATATAGTCGGATGGGCCGAAGGGGACGTTGATCATATCATCGGATGGGCTGAGGTGGACGTTGATCAATATAGTCACATGGGCTGAAGGTTCCCAGTATCTCGCATGGAGTTCGATATGTCCCTACTATCAGATGCACATTCTCTCGATGCTGCTCGGTAGTGTGATCGATGCATCGGATGCCTTTGCAGTCAGAAGGAGATCTTCACCGGATACGCCGAACTTGGAGTTCGATATCTCCCTACAATCCGATGTACATCTACTCGATGCTCCTCAGTAGTGTCATCGATGCATCCGATGCCTTCGGAATCAGCAGGAGATGTTCACCGGATACCCCGCACGTGGTCGGTAGTTCCCCAGCTTCTCTCAGATGGAGTTCGATATCTCCCTACTATCCGATGTATATCATCTTGATGCTGCTCGGTAGTGTCATCCATGCCCCTGATGTCTTCTGAATCAGCCGAGGCCTCCGGCTTCATTCCGATGCCTCGCTATCTCGATCCTATCGAAGATCTCATGGCATTGTACTAATATCTGTATTCTTGCCCTAGTGTGGAGTTTCGATCTTTTCAAGTTAATTCCGGTGGAGGCAATTCTACGCCTGAGTTTTATCGATGGATATTGAGCTTAAGGTATCC